GAGAGGGGGGGGGGAGAAATGATTACCCAGAGATTACAATAGACACACACTTCCTCTGACCTTTATGTGAAGAAAGAGTGACTATATACAATTATAATATCAGTCTTCCAGCACATATTGTCCTTGGTTCTATCTGTCAGACAAAGGATGTAATATCACACTTAAAATAAGCTGATTATCCACAAAGTACACATCGTTCCAGCAGAAAATTATGTTATTGTTAATTAAAATTGGTCTGTGGCTTGGAATCACATCTATTTTGTGTAAGACTTGCAATTTATTAATAATGTGTTTTTTTTTTTTTTGCTTCATAATATGGATTTAAATTACATTAACAGTGTCAAAGCAACAATATGACATCAGAAGAGTTGTTTTTCTCGGTACGCCTGACATCTTACAGCACTAGTGTGCACAGTGCTTGGTAATCACTGTCTTTGCAACCTGTCTGCATGGTGTATGTGCATGGATGTAAAATGGATGATTGTCATTCCAGAGAGGAGCAAAACAGCAGCGATGATACTGTGATTTGATTTAATCTCTGTCCTTGTTAGTCTGACGGAGTTGCCAGACACTGATAAATGTAGCTGCAGACGACTAAACAGCATAAGATGAAGTGTTCGTGCATGTGTGTTATCGGAGCACCATCCATCTCTTACCTGCTACAGTTGTTTGTTGTCTTGTGTTTCTTCGTCCAAGGTTTTTTCATGACGGATTCAGTGTTGCTGTGAAGGGGAAACAAAGTGCGATAAAAACACCTATGTTTTAATGTTAGAAAGATAAAATGTAGGTTCACTGACCGTTCACTTTTTTGAGTTGGACGGATTCTTAAAGGCCAAAAAAAAAAAAAAAATATATATATATATATATATCTGTGACATTGACTTAGACACACGTTTGCAACAAACAAACAAATGAAAAATTAAAAAAATGAATCATGAAACCTACCTGCACTCACACGACTCGTGCTCCACGAATGTGAGTTCTGTCAGTTGGCTAGAAATTAGTGGAACAATTCTTTTCACCTGTGTGAAGAAAAATATCCATGTGTAAAGGACTTTACAATTAGAAGAGCTTCTCTGTACACTGTACCTGTAAGGTGACGTTGCGTTCTTTCAAAGGACTGCATTCTAGGCCCTCATCTCCACAGCAACCGGAGCAGCGCCACAGAAGGACACAGGCAGGGAGAAAGAAGTGTCCTGCTAGTCCAGGAAGCTCCTGCTCAATGTCCACAAACTGCTCCACAGGGCGACACATGCTCTTTGTCCACACCTCGTAGAACTCCAGTACTAAAGAGGAAGTTGGTAAAATTGTAAATAGAAAATGCTTTCAAATCTGAAATCTTAATTTGTTAGTATTGTATTCTCTGTCTTTCAATTTGTATATCACATAGGAGAATGTCAATTTGTCTAAAAAAACAAATCTTAATTCACAATTGAACTACATTGTTGTTTTTATTAAATATCATACATAAAGTGAGACATTTTTTTGTCTCACTTTAACAAAAAAGTCTTTACCTTTGTCCCCTCCCTCATCTGGTGTAGAGGAATTCTGCAAATGTACACATGAAATGTACATATTATGTACACATTAAAGTATTGATGCACCGTTCAAATGATTATTAGAGGTGGAGTTTCTCAGATGTAAAGGTGGTGCATAGAAATACATGGAGGCAGATGAGAAACTGTGGCTACACCGGAGGAGAGCAGCTGAATGAAGAAAACACTGGCAGGTGTAAGATAACCGAGTGCAGTAACTGGTTAGTTAGTGCCACCTTGTGGTAAAAAAACAACAGTGCTGATATTGACGTTTAAACAGGGGATACAGCACAATGTGCTGATATTTGCAAATCAACAAAAATGACGAGTGAAATGATTCATTAAGTCAATACAATACAACTTTTTTTATAATAATCAGATAAAAAAAGATAGTATGATGGCAAAGAACAGCTGCTGTTTTGTCTTAAACATAGGAACGTTTACATGACACAGCATGAATTCTGCCAAGTTCTTACAAGCAGTTTTACAACACACAATGGCCTCGTCCCATATATTTATGATGATGTTGAAGTTTTGTGTTCCAGTGCAAAATTGCCAGCAATATAACAAAGTTGCTGCATTTCAACCTAGATACATGCACCTTTGGAGTATTGCAACCTACAAATGTTTTTCTAACTGTTAGTGATTTTATATGTATTTTAGTCACTTTACATAGTTGAATCTATATAATGTATACCTAATATAATCTCCTAAATATTTTATGTTTTTATGTTGCCTAAATATGGGACATAATGACATTCCCCTTCTGTATGCTGTTTTTTTTTTTTTTGTCCAATCTTTTTACTTTAATGACATTCTCTGTTTCTGTTTCAGTGATCAGAAACTTAAGACATTTAAAGGGATGGTTTAAAAATTCAAGCAACATATACATTTGTGGTTAACATTTGATAAAAAGTAGCTTAGTGTAAGCGTGGAGAATATTATTATTGAATTCATGAATCAATATTAGGACATGCAGATGTGTTTGATGGATTACCTGTGCAGAAGTCAGCTGAAGGAGAAGAATCAACAACAGGTGGAGGAGCACTGAGAAACTTTCCATCTTCATTTTGACATGGATGGGCAGTGGACTGAAAACCTACTGACACGAAACAATCATTCAGAGAGATATAAATGAAGCAGACAGAAAGAGAGAGGGAGGGAGGGGGAGAGAGAGAGGGAGGAAGAAGAGTGTACACAAATTGAGAAAGTCAGGATATTTACAGTATTCCATTTGTCCATTTGGGAGCTCAACTCTATGTCATATGACAAAATATCATTGTTTGAAGGTTGAATGAATGACTTGATATTAAACATCCACATGTCACAAAAGGGCCACACGGTGAGAGCATGGTCAGTGTAGAACAGGGTCAGCCAGTGTGGTGGAGGATATTGTGTGACATCAAGTAAGGGCCAGTTCAGAATAACAGGAAACACCAAGGACAGACACAGGCAATAACAGCCCAATGCCATGTTTATTTGGTCAAACAGACCATGTTTATTTGGTCACTTGGAGAGAGATGAATAAAGGCCCAATGTGACGTAACATTGTCATGTTTGCCTGTGTCTATAAAAAGGATCAGCACGTATCAGAAGGTTGTCAGACCTGCAATGGTCAGAAACCTTTAATACAATAAATCCCCCGAGACGGAGTGTGTTTCTCTTTCTACAGTACCAACAGTCCGGCCAAGAGCCACCATTTTTACTGTGTTACTCCAAAGAGCCACATGATATAGATGGGCACACTTGAACTTAAAAAATGAACTCTCTCACTCTGTTAAAAACATCCTGTCTTCATATTTTCCTTTTGCTGTGCATTTTTTCCCTGCCATTTGAGAGCAAATTACACTACTCAATGTTTTTTGTCCCCACCAAGTCATTTGCGGTCATTGAAATTTGAAAAATTCCCCTTTATTTGATTGTGTGTGCTGACTACTGTTGAGCATATGTTTGGATGTAAATGATTACTGAGCACAAACACACAGGGTTTTAATAAAACACCCACTTCATTTGTTTATACTCACTGCTTGTGTAATGAAATGTTTTGGATTGCCCATGTACTCTACAGTCTAAGCTGCTCGGTTCATACTCACTGTTCAAGCACTTCTTTTCTTTCTATACACCTGTCTATTCAGTTGAGCACAAAACAACCTGAATGTCTCCGATCTAGCCTCTTTGATCTGGGATTTCACAAACAGATGCCTTTTCCAATAATGTGTCGGTTAGAGTTGCTACATTTTGGTGGGCGTGCTCCAAACAACTCTTGGCGCTAATTAAAACGTGCCCTGCTGTTACACCACACCAGGGTCTTGGTGGTGTGTGCGCTCTTATTAACATCCGAGGATAATGGGAGGAAAGTACAGGTGCAGCCATATCATCCATGTTGCAGTTCCTGTTTGCAGATTGTGCTGCGTAGACAACAAGCATCAAGGTTTCCTCCTGTTTATGGGGAGGGCTCAGATGTGTTTACACACTCTGTGGGTTTTACAGGATAATTGCACCGATGTGTGCTGGCAAACAGCCTCCACGGAGGAGATAACAAAGATGGCTGCTGCCTTTTAACCCTGTGATTAAAAAAACAGGGTGTAAATTTTAATGAGAAATTATAATTTAAAAACATTTATTTGTAAAAAACAAAAAGAGTCAGAGTCAGCACCAGCCAAACTGGGACGTTTGAATGTGTGGACGTGTTCCAGTTGGTAAACACTCAGCCAATGTCTGGGGAGTTTCCCCTTTGCTTACAGACCCCGGTCTGATAGTCAGAGGTCAGACGGACAGCTGCAGCTTTCTTGGTCTGGGAACCACACTGATGCTCCAGTCTCAGTTCCCATCAGGGGAGAGAGGAGTTTCCCTCAACTGCAGCAGATACTGCAGGTGGTTCTCATCACACCCACATAAAAAACAGAAAAAAATGTGTACTATAGTAATCAGTTTATTTCTTTAGAATTTAAAATACCTCCATGTCTCTGCACTGTGAGCATCCACTGGTCTTTAGCTGCATTATTTTGCATAGTACTGGTGCAAACTGTTGAGGTAAAGCACATTTTGGTCTGAGCTGTGGCTCAATAAGTGGGTCACTTCTTTGGAGAATCATTAATTTGACCTTGCTTTGTGAAATAAATGTTTCCGTCTGAAAAGTGAAAGAATAAAAAGAATACTACATTGATAAAAACAGTTTCTTGGTCTGTGTGAGCTTCTGGAAAATCTCTAAGAAAATGAAGTCTATTTTTGGGGTTTATAAAAGAACAAAGAACAATCAGAGATCACATGAGTGCACAGAAACATTCTGAGTTTTCCTCAATGAGCACAGGAGACGTCTGCGTACATGCAGCACATGCTCTAGCATCATGTCAAAGCCATTGTAGTCTTTAATTATCTGCCCAAAATAGAAAATCTGTAGGTTTGCACACATGAGCGCAGTCTCCCCCAGTATTCATAGGTAGGACGTTCAATGTCAACAAGCACATGGAGTGAACAAAGGGTTTGTTCTCCTTTCCAAAATCCCTCCGGACTTAAAAAAGAAATAGGCTTGATTCATGGAAATAAATGAAGCGAAACATCTGCACAAGGTTTTTTTTTCACGCACAAAAACCCACCATACATCATTAAAATCACATGCACCAAGGACATTTTCCCAACAAGGACATGGAGTTTAAAAAAAAATCTAATGACATCATTTCCCTAGACTCCCAGTCATACTGGGTTTAATCAGTAGGAAAAGAAATCTGTATTGCAAAGGTTACTGGATCAACAGCATTCACAAGCTAAATTATAAACATATTCCCAGACTGTTTTGCCAGTATTGTGCTGCAAATGCATTATGGGTATTGGTAATGGTTCCCAAGTCTCAAGTAGCCAGCCTGAGTGATGAATGAGACCCGAGCGGCCAAACAGACGCGACTATAAACTGGGACAAACAACAACACGCTAACAGCACAGTAGAAAATGGGTTGAACAACAGAATCTGGGACACATTCATGGAAACTGTGAATGAAAATGTCATCTGTTAAAAGAACAGAGCAGGTTTTACTGGAAGTCTTTTTGGTCAGGCTCACACTGACATTACTATTTTTTACTATTCACAGGAGCTGCAATAACTATTCAACCTTATAAATAAAGGTGATAGGGCAGTTGATGGCATTTTTGAGTACTGCAGAATATACTGAAAAAAAGTACAAGGAAAGCCTTTGAATATTTATAAAGGTTAATTTGAAGCTGAGTATTTATCCCATTGTCAAGACAAGTTTTCCAGGTTTCAACAACTATTTTGTTAGTAACTGTTACATATTAACTTTTATCGTAGCATTAATTTTGACCAGGTTCCCACAAAAAAATGGCTCCTGATATTAAGCCCAAAACCTTTATGTGGCTTTTCAAAAAGCTTCACTGAAAGTTCCTAAAGTATTTGATCTCGTAGCTTCCTTTTTAATGTTATACTATATTTTCTCTTTTTAACTTATTATAGTTGACAAACTTACTCAACAGCAGAGTTACTTAAGACTTTCAGGCGAAAACAAATGACTAAGAACACGCACGTGAGTGTGCAGGACCTTTAATACATTATACTGACTTCACAAGGCTAAGTGCAAATAAATAGCATTTTAATTCCATTTCAGAATCCTGTTGGTTTTTTATTGTCAGGGGGAGACTTGTTCATCCACATATCAGAAACAACAAAGAGCTCCGAGTCAGGAGGAATGTGGGCACAAAGAAGTTCTTAGCCTTGCTTAATGAAATTGGGGCAAAGGACGCTGTGGCTGCGTGCAGCAAATTAAATAATTTTCACACCGGGATCATTGGAGCACGTCACTGTTAAACCTCAGCATCTGCTCAGTCTGTGCCTGACAAAAGAAACAGCTCAGCTGATCCCCAAACAGTCCTCAATATCTTCATACAAAACCTATTGTCTACTGGACTCAACTAGTGTTGAGATGTTACATAAATGCTTTCCTTTTTTACAGGGTGAAAGGAAGAGTTATAACAAACTCTACTTCTCTGTGGAGAAAGCTCTCTTCATCAGAGGCGGAGGAGTCTTTCCTGCATCATACAGCGACTCAGGAGGAGGAGAGCTCAGGCAGCACCAGTCTGGGATGCGACCGGTCTGATTGTAATAATCACGTGATACAGACCTACTGCCCAGGACGTCCTGGAGGGCCCCAAAAATGGCTCCTGTTAACAGAGGATTTATTAACATGTACCTTAGAAATGATAAGTAAAAGGAATATTTGAGGTTTGTGTAGTTGTGATCAATTCTGAGTGACATCTGACCTCCGAGCCAAGCGGTGCAGTTGGGTTTGGCAGGTGGAGCGTGTATACAGAAGTTCTTGCTGGCCAGCACGTTGCTATATTTGGGCTTCTCCACCAGGAGGCGTATCTCCGCCAGCAAACGGTGCAAGAAGCCAGGCATCATGGCCGTGCCCCCAATCACCACCAGGTTTTCAGCGAGCACTTTACGAGTGTCAATGGGGCACTGAACACAAACGCGTACATATTGAGCAAATCACAGCACCTGCAGACATGTTTATCTCCAAGAGGGGAATCGGCTTTTTGTGCATATGTCAGAGAGCGACGATGTTGTATTGATTTATTTTACAACATCTTTTCAGATTTGGTGGAGAAAACATTTTGGACAATTGTCAGCCACTCCTGTCCTCTGTCATGTCTGTGCTACATGAGAACACTGTGTTTATGAGGACAGGTGCAGACCACAGCAAACTGTGATGGATGACAGTTGCTGCGTAAAACTTTACTGCAGCGCTGCTTTACTGTGTGTGTGTGTGTGTGTGAGCTGATGCCTCCAGAGACCTGCTGGGGTTCAGCTCCTCCTGAATAGAGTACTGCACTGGTAGCGGTTTGAACTTCCTGCTTAAGGTGCAGGAAGTGTCTGCTGCTGCTGCTGCTGAACTTTTTAAAATAAATTAGGCTGTTGTGTGCTGATGTCGACGGGAAGAAAGTGTTCTCAGTTACACAGCTTTGGCTTAGTAGTACGAGACGGAGAAATTCTGTTTCTAAATAATTAATAAATCAAGCTAAACATAATAAAATTGTTACTTAAAAAACTGCAACATTTTGGGATTTGATCTAGTAACAAACATGCTGAAGTAGATTGACATTTTGGGATTGATTTTTTTTTTAAACTCCTTGTTAATCAAAGCTGCCAAACAAATAACAGGACTTCAAAATTACTTCTGCCCACCTTAACGAGAGCATCAAGCATCAGAGAAGCAACGCTCTTTTCTTCGTTGTCCTGTTCGAACAGAATCTCCATCACGGAGTCCCTAAAGACATGAGAAGATCTGTGAGCCATACTCAGACCAAAAATAAAAAAATAAAAAATAAAATAAAGATTCATGCATGTAACTGTAAATCAGAGTGTTATTTATTTTTTTAGCACTAGAGGAGATTTAAAGCACATTCTAATTTGGTACCTAATCGACCCTTTGATGTGGAGGATTTTCTGCCCGTCCAGTGGATATTCAACATCGGGAGGAGGAGCTGGACGCTACAAACACATTGTTTAATAAGACTTACAACATGACTTTACATCTTCAGACATTAATAAAAGAATAAACTGTTCACGAGCGGGGGCTGTTGTTTACCTCTGCTGTGCCGTCCAGGTTAAATTTGGCCTCTTGGATCTTGAGACCCCTCTTTAAGTCACTAACAATACACGTCCTCACTGCAGCACAGTATGAAATCATCAATTATTTTGTGTGAAATTGTCCAATTCAAAACTTTTAACAAACACAATATGCTTTAACACATACATTGACAAACAGAATTGTTGTGTGGATGATTATATAAACAAAACAGAAACAAGTTCACACTTCTATCTGCTCTGATTGATAGTGTTGCTCTGAAGAAAGAATTTCTATAGCTTCAAAACTCATCCTCTCATAAACAAACAGTTCAAAAACAGTTGAACCCACCTTTAATATCCTCCACAGTCTCCTCCCCAATGGACCCTGACGGGAAAGTCATCAAACACACAATAAAAAACTTTTTTTTTCCAGGCACGAGTGTACTCAGATTCACCAAATCCCCCCTTTCTTTTATTTCCTAGTGAGATTTATGAATGTGCAGACTCAGCATCTGAAAAGTACAAGTGAACACTGCAGTGTGTTGAACAAATTTAGGTCACATAATGAATGCCTCTCTAGGGGCTATAATATAGGAAGCTGTATTGTCCAATAGATTGTTAAAAATATGCATTATCTGCTGACATACACTTATTTTAAAAACTTATAATTAGAGATTTGTTCCTGGTTATACACGTGATCATCTGAAACAGAATGTGTTTTCAAAAGTCAATGATGTGAAGCGGTTGAACGCTATTACATCTTTGTACTTTCTAACAGACCAAATCAGCAGTCCATATGTGCAATACAAGCTCACCTATTTGGGAGACAAAGGCAGATGGTGCCCGGTGTGTGTTTCACTAATTACCTAAGACAGCTGGTACACTCTGCCCAGTGGAAGTATCTGTGTCCACAGTGCACTGCTCCACAAGAAGTCCGTCCAACTCCCTACATTTACAGCACAAATATATGCCGTCAGGGCAGAAATAAGACAAAGAGGCACTTGTGTAGACACAATATATGAACAATAATCAAGAATCATTAAAGACCCTTTCATCTGGAACTGGTACTCACTTATGGATGGCTTTTCCTCCCAGAGGTAAAGACTCCCAGGCTGGCAAAATGAGAGTGCACTCATAAACCTAATGTTGCAGCTAAGGTAAAAAAGTAGATTGTGTACATTTACAATGTGATGACATGAATATACATCACTTAAAGACTTATTGGAATATGAGAATTATGAGAATAATATTAATCCAGACTTAAGTGCACTTTTTTAAATTAAAAAGGATACAGGCAGCACCAGTGTCTCTGTGTAGCCACAATCCATCACCAGTCCAGAATTGATGCCCAATGTCATGATAGCCATGAGGTGGCTCGGGGCAAAGAGTATGGAGGGAACCTGTGCAACGCCACCAACAGGGGTAAAACCTTAAAACACAGTCTTCACCAACCAAAAATGTGCATAATACTTGAAACAAAAGTGAAGATGATATTGCAAACCTCCTACAATGATACTACTTTTGATTATTATACACAGTTCCAACAAAATGCTGATAGGTTGACATCTTACCTCAAACTGTTTGAAGAAAACCTTGGTGAGAGTCTCCCTGAAGTGAGAAGGACAGAGGATGGACTCGATGATGACCACTCTTCTGTCTCGAGGGTTGACCAGCAAGTGTCTGTCTCAAAAAATACAACATAGGAACTTAAGTGTGCCCCTAATAAATGCTTAGACAACAACACATACTCAAACTTGCGATCAGAACATGCATTTCAAGTTTGACCAGAGCAGGACCGCCTCACCTGAAGTATAGTGTATGGATAAACTCTTTGAGTATGACATAAAGCTCTTCTGTGTTGATGTTGTACTGAACAACTTTGATAGGCTAAAACAGAGAGACAAGGAATCGTGTCAGCAATTATTTGTACTTTTGAATAACACTACATCAGAAGGACTAAGACAGTGGAGGATCTCACCTGTTGATGGCCCGGTTTCCGGATTTCGCTCGGAATTATGAACCTTGGCCCCGTTTCGCCTGCAAAACCACATCTGCAAAGAAACAAAAGTGTAAAGTGAACTGATGAGATGGAGAGAGTTGTTTTCTCTGTAATTTTTCAAAACACAGCATTAAATCTGCAGTATTTTTAAAACTCTATTGTATACTATGTTACACATATGATAGAAAGAACCCAGCATTGTGACGAATGTCATGGGAGAGGAGAGGACAAAGGCGTCATTATTATAAAGAATCTTTGGATTATCATGTGTTTTGCCTTTGGGATTATTCAACACTCTGAATACAACCACAATATTAAGGATATTTATGTTACGCATCCTGATTGAAATAAAATCTATGTTACTTTGTATTTAGTAGGGAGAGGTGTTAAAAGAGTTTTAATACTAAGGTGTCAGTAAGATATAAACATCGCTAGCATTAGCGTTTATGCTAACCAGTAGCAAGTTGACATAACGACTGATACTTACTTTGTGAACGCAGCACCGATATCGATGACAATTGCGGTTTTCTCTCCCCCACTTCCCAAACCATCAAATAATGGCATCGTATTAACTTAGTTGCACTGTATTCGGATGATCACTGAGAGCAGCCGTAAATCTACAGCATCCTATTGAAAGAAAAAATCTGACGTCTTCCTGTTGGGCTAGGTTGGGTCCTGCTGCACACAGTGACGTCATGTTACTGCCTGATTAAAAATATGCTCATCCTAAAATGAAGATAACAAATAAAAATATACAATAGAGAAAGACAGCACGTGTATGCAATATTTTTTCTTTGAGAGCCAGCAAAGAAAATAATTTAATCTGCTTTATCTGACACAAACAGCAGGACTAGTACCACAAGATTATATACAGACATAAAGCTGCATGTACAAATACCAATTAGACAATTTTCTACATAAAGCAATTTAGCATAATCAATTAATAGTTATAGATACAATGGGAATGTCAGAAACATTTCAGACAAATTTCAAGGTAAATATGTAGATTTTAGCCGTTGTATTTTCATAATTTCTAATTGTAGGACTACACAAATATTGGGGGAATAAACTGAGACGTCGAATATACTATATATCCTTGAAGTAATTTTTTATTTCCCCTACATTTTATATTATCTAAGAAATTAACAACACAACAGACAGCAGAAACAGGAAACAGACAGATCTAACAAAAACATCCTTTTTGGAAAGTACACAATTTACATGGGGCCATTTAACTGGATTTTCATTGTTGCGTTCTCTGCCAACATTAAAACAACCAAACGCAAATTTTATTGACTCACTCATAGAATATCTGAAGTGAATATCTGAAGTGAATGATCATACTAAAGACCATTGGGTATGGTGTTGTCTTGGAACTTGAATAAATAATATAGAATACAGAGTATATTTGAACTTAGTTCCATAATTGCAGTGTAATAAAAGACACACAATCAACTGGTAGTCCGTTTTTGCTATGTAAGGTTTAAAATAGAAGCAATCATTAAAAAAAGCTAAACATTTTTAAGTTGTTAGATTTTTAAAAGCATTACTTTATTCCTGTGCATTGGATTTAGGTTATAATCTGTTTCAATTGCTGTTGTTATTGTATTGTATTGCTTGGTTACTGTTTTACATTTAATTACCCCCTATTACTACTATCCTTACTATTAAGTATTTTGTTTTATGTTTTGTTTTTTTTAAATCCGATAAATACCACAGACAAAAAATGACACTGGATCGACCTGATTTCTATCGGAAGATGATGAAACTTTACCCTGATTATAAATCAGACAAAAACGTTCGGGTTGAACCAATCCTGCAGATCTGAAGCACTAGGTTCCAACACGCGAGAGAGAGAAAAAAGCGCAGAAAGCGGCAGGCGGATTTACGCAGACACTTCACAGCCAGTGACGCTGAGCTGCACAACAACAAGCATCTCCTCTTTCCCATTCCCTCCCCAGTCGAACCTGGATTCCTATCCATACCATAACAACTGCGTAAGACATCGCATGAGGAGCAGAACATCATCCCGGCATCAAACCTGCACAAACTCCGCAAAGGTAAAGCCACCTTTATTTTTAGCCACATGCTGTATGTGTGTGTATATATATGCATGCGACTGACATTGATAACATGTTAGTATCGCTCTCTGTGCTTTGTAAAATGACGGGCTGAGGTTCATTTAGTGAGTGTGGATTGAAGCTTCAGTAAAAGGCAACGTCAAGCTTTGTGTTTATTGTAAGTCTTTGCAGCCAGATTGTATAATACGATGTTCACACCGCATGCAGTCAAAATTGCTGGAAATATTATGTGGTTATGTGGTGGTGGAGGTGGTGTTTGACTGCATGGACATTCTGGCTGCAGGTATTTATTGTGAATATTTTAATGAGAGTGTTAAAAGGGAACACTGGAGAATAGTGTCTTGCATTGATTATGACATTGTTGGAATGATGTCTTCTCTCGGTCTGATTTAGCAGACAGGGTGTCACCCAGTACATCATGTTACTATTAGGGGAATGACAAAATATAACACCTCAAAGAGTTGCCATGCGTTTGAATATATCCTTGCCTTTATAGAGGTGCAGATGTCTGTCAATATAATGTAACATTGATGGTTTCCGTCAAGAGTGGACAACCTAGTGGTAACAATAGACAAAGTCACTGTTTGTCCGTGCCCCTGTGTGTTTGAGGGTTTGTTTGTGTGTATCTGCACGTGCATTTATTTGCAGTTGACACACAGTGAAGTGATGGGTGCAGGAAAAAGTGTTTTTCATCCAAATGATACAACAACAGTATCAGGCGAGAACAAATGCTGTGCTCTGTGGGAATCACAGCTTCTACAAAGTTCCCCTAATGTCACCTGTTTTCTTTTCCAGACACCTCCTGCTCTGCTTTGTCTCACTCTCCGTTCACAACACTGCTGGGAGACAAAGCACAGAAGTTGCAGACGAGTGTTAACACCTCAGTTGAGCTTATTAGCATTTGTCTTTCACGTCCACTCTCTGCAGGCGCCCAGACGAGACAGAGATGCTGATGTCTGGGTTGCTCTATCGCCTTCTCCTGGCTGGGACCTGTCTCTGTGTCTATGGGACCCCTGTCCACTTACCGTTAACGCAGGACAGCAATTGCGATGGGGATTTTGACCAATCAATAGTGAATGTTAAGTCATCACGCAACAGAGATGAGTATGTAGAGTCTGTACTGAGTAAAACAGAACATGTGAGTGGCCTAATACTGAATGGAGATACAACAGGAGGAGCCGGCCCTGAGGGGATAGCTCCAGTGGTGCAGTCAGAAAATGGGGACAGCCTTGATGGACGATCATGGCCGAGTAAGGCTCATGTGGAGCAATTGAGTCAAAGAAGCCGAGTAAAGAAGGTCAGGCGCTCATTTGAAATGAGAGATACTGACAGACAGTCAGAATCACTTCTGTCAGAGGAACTAGAGAGAAGTGAGGAGAGCAGGTCTGGTAGAGATGAACAAAAGCCACCACCTGCAGATGCGACAGAGCAGGTGAGCATGGAAAAAATGAGGACATCAAGAGAAACAAGGCCACCATCCTATGCAGAAACTTCAAACCCCTCAACTGTCCAGAGACTAACTTCTGAAAGTCCCATCCCCAGTGTTGCCTCTGTGACCTCAACACCTCTGACAATGTGGGGTCATGATGAAGCAACAATCATTCCCTCATTCCCTGAGCCCTTAATACCAGAATTTGGACCAAATTTGATGCCGAAAGATGATGGACTGGATAGTCTGTGGACAGAGGCAACAAGACCTGATGGAGGTAAGACAGAAAGCTAGTGTTTATGTCAGCGTTAAAATAATCAGAAAAGATAGAAGAGTCAGACGACCAGTGTAGCTAACAGGAATTACCTTCCACAGTAATCATAACTGCATTCCCAAGATTTCAGGAGGATTTATCAAACAAAAGTGATTAAATGAAAACTAGTTTTGTGGCAGAGATTGCATTTGATGAATGGCAAAGTAGAAATATGCTTTTTCCACACTCCACATCAAACCCCAGCTGGGACCTGTAGCAGTCTAATTACTTTCTATTCCTGACTTTTTCCAGTCTAGAGGAAAAGAAAAGGACACACAACTGCCAGCAAATGCTTGAGGCCAGGCATGCTGAACAAGTCTTTAGAGGATTCAACCCCTCTCGCTCCCTGTTTCTCTGATTGCTCATCCTTTCAGAGGAGACGCATAATCAAATCCAAATTCCAAGTACAAATTTTAACAACAGAGGAACTGTGGTGTGTAATATTCCCACAGTTAACTCTCCCAGAGCAGACATTCCAAACAAAGACAGGTTATTTTTCAATATAGCAAAATGAATCAACATAGTCTGTCTGAACTAACATGTGATCCAGCTATTATCACTGGAATTGCTTGTTTTATGAAGCCTACTAGCAAAATTACGGCAAAAAATCCTTTAAATTCCCAAATGGTTTCATTTCAAAGGACTGCAGTTTTTACAAGCAGTTTTTTGCCCACTTAAGAAATGTCCTGGACTACAGGGTTTGCCTCTAGATATGCAGTAATATGCTGTTTTTACTTTGACTGCCCCCTGTGTGCTGTCTTTTGGCTAAAGGGAGACATTTTTCCAATCCTGCTTTCACTGTGTCTCAGTGAACGATGCTCTTGGAGAGTGCAAGTGCTTCTAATGAGAAATCAGCAGGTAAAGTGTTAACTGCCGCTCCAAGATTCTGCCATTAATACTGATTAGTCTATACTCGTCTGCTGGATAAAAAGGGCTTGTAAATTTTCACAATGGCTGCCAGAAGTGTTTGGTGTAAAGAAACCATGATTGCAATTGTGCATCATTGGCTTCAACGTTTCATCAACTTTAAACAAAAGATCCGAGCACTTCTGCCCTTTCAAAATGAAATTGTCACAGTATAATATCATGACCTTCATTCTGCCTCTGTGTTGGTTTGAACACAAATTGCAGCGGAGACTGTTGACCCACTCTCTCAGGATGAGGCCATAGAGGGCACCATGTCATCAAAGTCTCTCCCTCTCATCTTTGATCCTTCTGAAGACATGACACCAGAGGGGGCAGCAGCAGCAGCAGGCTTCACACCAGTGCCTCTTCTGTTATCTGAAGTGGACATGGAGCAGCTGGTCACAGGGGAGACTGACGGTGATGGTCCTTCACATGCCCCGTCCCTGCTGATACCAGAGTGGATGTCACCTTGGCAGACATCCGGCGCAGAGCTCCAGGAACCGATAGGCACTGTGGTTCCGTCTGTTTCACAGCAACATGCTGGAACTGAACCAGATGAGCCCACTGAACGAGGTGAGAGTTTATATCTGTTAGCAGTGGTTGTCAAACTTTCTACATCATGTACCACTGCTGAAAAGATTTACCCTTCCACTTACCACCAGCATGAATAATGAATAATATTAAAATGCAGCTCCACTATGTTTGCCTAACATGATGAGGAAAAGCCTTAAATATAAAATATTTGCCATTTAACCAGGCAAAGGCAAACTGTACATGAAGTAGCACCACAACTAAAAGTATGTTTTAATTCTACCCCTTCATCAAACAAATGTTATGTGACAATAGCATCATAATGTAAGGTATACGGCACTATAGTATTTCATACTAGCGTAATTTAGTATAGTAGTATAATTTAAAGCTGTAGTTTTTTTTCTCCTCAAAATTGTAAACAGTGTAAATTGATTGGAAATAATTGCACATATAATTCACATTTTTTTCTAAAATTGCTGTAATGGGTTTTAGCAGAACATGCTTTTTTTATCTGACTAAATGTTCACATTTCTGGGATTTGGGGAATTGTAGTTGCTGTGAGGACACCCAACCTTGACGAGTACTTGCCCACCGCCAGCCCCTCCCTCTCATCCTTCATCCAGCACACTATGACAACAGTTACCATGGTAGCCAATCGCCCCGTGCACAAATCTAGATCAGGGTTAGAGGAGATGGAGTCTGAGGCTAAGGCAACTTTTATTCCCTGAGGGTTTACATGCGGTTTATTTCCAGTCATAAATGTGCTTCTTTATTCTGGGTTGTTAAGTAAATGGTTTTACTCCCCACAGAGGAGGCAGACGAGGAAGACAAGGACGAGAACTCTGAGGAATCAGTGGAAGATGAAAGTGAAGAGGACCAGACAGATTCAACTAAAACATCTCTAACTCAGCCTCCATACAGTCTCATCCCTCCTCCTCCTGTCTGGGTTCAACACAACCAGGGGCTGAGTATGTCTACATGATCTCTAAACCTTATTTCTGCTCTGCTGAATTCTTCTTCTTACTGTTATATTATATATGTATACTCGATGATGTTTTTATAATATTCTGAATTCAAGTAAAAAAAAATGTTGCTGTGCTTCATCTGTGGCATTTCTCTTTCAGTCCGGAGCTGGGTAGAGCTGATCAGAGAAAAGGTAAGACTGCCCCCTTCTGTCCTTGATAGGTCTTCACACCTTAAGTGGGCTTAAAATGTGGCAGGCGACATTCTTCATTCCTTTAACCCTCAACATACCCCATTAAAACCAAAAGTCACAATTAATCAAGCTGTAATGTTGATTATCCTAAGATAATAAAAGCATATGTATTTATTGCATATACTGTATTTTATACAACTGTCTCCCACATGGCTACATGCTGAGCATTGTCTTTACTACTAACAGGCGGGGTATGTGTCAGGCATGTTGGCCCCTGTAGGAATTGGCATCACCGGGGCCCTCCTAATTGTTGGCGCCCTCTACAGCATCAGGATGATTCACCGAAAGAGACGGAACAGCTTCAAGCATCAGAGAAGGAAGGTTAGACAGCCAGAGGTCAGTGCCTTTACTGATGTATTCATGTTTTCTTTCATATGGATGGACTATTTACAGTATGAAATAGGCTTTTTTATTTGTTTGGGAATTATTTTGTTTTGTTTTTTTTAGTGGCCATCCCAGCAATCCTGCAAAGAAACGAGCAGTAGATGAGGGATGTCATATTATTCTTCATTTTCAGGGAATTCTTGGATTTTAAGCGTTTAAGTTTTTTTTTTTCTGTTTTCTTCCCTACAGCCTGGAGAGCCCTGTACTAGCCACCAGGACCAGACTATGCTGCTGGCTGACAGCTCTGAAGATGAATTCTGATGAGACAGTTTCGGGCTGTTTTTTTTCAATGGCGACCACTGCCTGATGCGCCAGTAAAAGAGGCTTGGCCAACATCAGCATTGCTATGACGACCACATCTCCAATCACTCTGTGCTGTTTTGGCCATGACTCATCTGATCCACACAATGTGACTGAGTATGTGGCACAATTTGCACAGGCTGCACAGTGGTGGGCTTTGTACTCCCCCCTTTCCCTGCCTAAAACACTTTTGAGCATTGCCAGGTGATGCTGACTCTAATGGTTTGACATGGTTGGTGTGATGCACTTTGACTCTTAAAAAAAAAAAAAACAATAAAAATGCTCCTTGTAAAATAAATGCATTAGCAGGGTAAATTGGCTGACTGACAGCATTGGTATTAAAAAGGTTCTGTGTTTCGATTGGGGGGGGGTTCTGTTATACAGTCAAAGGACTGGGAGGAGTTGTGTAAGGAAAATGTAAATACTCTCAATGTAAATCTGATGGAGCTGACCTGTGGTCAGCTTTGTTTGTGTAAATACATTTGTACTTCTTGCACAGTATTTTGGTGAAAAAGACACAGTTAAAGAAGCCATTTTATTTTATTTATACAGGACATAACATTTAAATAGCGAGCCTGATATACTTAGCATTAGGCCTGCTCGCGTGTCCTCCTCTGTCAAAACTTGCAAAAACCTGCCGACCTGCACCTTCAAAGTTCTCTAATGAGGAACATTTGTGATCAGAAGAAAACATGTGAAATGCGAAAATCATCTAGGGACTGTAGGTATTTTAAACTGTATTTAGAACAGGAGCAATAACTTTGTTTTTAGCCTTTAACGCAGGGTGACCTGTGTCATTCAACATAATGTCTCTTTATTTAGGCGTTAATTTTACCTTAACCAAATACCTGGACCTTTTTCAACAATCAGTTACAACGGAGGAAGCCTCTTTAATTTCAATGAAAGGAACTTAATTGCCAATTTCTAAACGACCTGGATCAGCACCTCAAACAGAGTTGAGCCACTGTTGCCCCTGTCATCTCACTGACAGGTCAGAAATTACCAGCAGATTCTAAAATGATCTCCTATCCTGCTCACTCACACAAGTTCTCTGTTCTATTAGTGCTGACTTTCATTACTGTTCTCCTGACTCTCTTGCACCTGCTCCCAAATCTCATCGCCTCTGCTCGTTCACACAACTGAAAACTGCAAACTTAGCGATTGTTTAATTGCGGTTTAAAGTGGTGCTAAGTGGTAGAAGTTGCTGTAGTCAAACCAGGACAGTATTCTGTCTGTTTAGACTTGGTGTTAGAATGTGCTAAAATAGAGTAGCATATCTGTCCATGTCCTCTGTCCATCTCCCTGTGCGCAAGTCCAAGCCTTAATGCAACTTATGTGTATATGTAAATATATATTTTTTTATTTACTGTGTAACTGTGACAAGCACACAGAACACTATCATCCAAAAAGTATGTAGCATTAAAAGATCATTAACATGACAAGTGTGTTTTCTGGAAAAGCACAAACAGAGTGCGAACTCTGTCCGACAGTTTTCTTTCGAGCAGGCTCAGTTTGCACAACTTCTCTTTTGAGCGCGTCAATCAATGCCAATAAAGACATGATTTTTGTCTTGTGTCATTATTCTGGAGATTTTCCATTCATTATTAATCGGAAAACCTGGATGATGTAAGAGTAACCATAAAGAAAAAAAATATTTGTACACTTTCCATTTTCCATTTGTACACTGCCATTGTGTAAACACTATTTGTTGTGCTTTGTTTAAAAAACAGATTTTCTGTATCTTTGTGAGTCATGTCATGTTCTTCCTGCCTGTTAATATGCAATAATACTGTTTTAGGATGTGATGTAAAATAGTTAGTTTTTTTATGTAGATACAAAAACTCATTTTTAGCAAATAATGTGGACTTTTTGTGTCTTATTACATCTACTATTGTGATGTCAAAGTGTAATGGACTTGAACTGAAAAGACAAATGACAACCCCGGTTACAGCATTAAAAAAATCAAATAATTTATTTCTGTGTTCTTTTTCCACATTAAATAAAAGCTATTGGATAATTTCCAGATCAAAATCAAGAGAAGGGACAGGGCAGAGGAGAAAAAAAGAAAACTTGACATGCAGGAAAAACCTTCACTCTCCTTCTCACACACTTCATGGTGATGTTGAAGGCAGTTCTGGATGCCCTGAAAACACTGTAGAAAGCCCCGGTGGGCTTTGACATTTTGTGGCACAGCACCACTCGTAAAACGATAAACTGTTAGTTTAAGTGGTCTCAGGGGTAAATATCTCGTTGCAAACGAAGAACGACTGATTGCTTCACTGTGAGTTACAAAAGAAAGGAACCAGTGGTAAACAGTGAATTGTGGAGGAACACCTACTGGCATGTCAAGTCAGAATTGAATCCAAAGGCAGAGGAGTCACTGTCAGGTAGAACGGTGCAACACCAAAAGCAATGGCTGCTAATTTCACAGTGACAATAAATTCCTGTGATGGTAAAAAAACACTGCGTTTCAAGAGGCCAGTTGTTCATGTTAGAGAGGAGCTGCCAGGGTTCAAATGAGAGAGAATATGAGAATAAAACCTAATATATATTAATGTGTTAGGGAGTGACGCATTTCATGTGTTCATCCATCTTAAACATATTTGAAGAAAATGCCCAAAAAGTAAAAGAACACAGAAGAATGGGGCATTGAAAGGAAAGACAGAATTGAGAATAAATGAATTAGTGTCGAGATATTTTTTTACGTTTCATCTCTGGATGGTCTAATTAAAACAGAAATTGGGAAAACAAAACTTTAATCAACCCATATCACCGCCTTACCCAAAAGGTGAATCACCAAAAACAAACAAACAAAAAAAAAAGCTCTCGATACGTCGAACAGAGCAACACTCGTATACAAATCTGACAAAAAAAAAAAAAAATTACAGGTGATCTGATCCATTGTTCCAAATGCACACACACAGACAAACTTCCATACACAGGCTGTGATGTGAGTGGCACGTCTGTAAACATCTACTCTCCCTTTCAGACCTCGGCTTGAGGGGTTACAGCCCTGAATGTGAGCCAGGTCTTGGTGTTGTTGCTGATAAACTCTTCCTTCGCGTCCTTTCACAATTAAAACAGTCTTTTGTTTGTTCTGTGGTCCACAACTGAAGCAGATCTGTACTCATTTCAAATGTTGTGTTGCTTGGCAGTTTCTCTGAGCGCTTTCTAAGATAATGATTGGGAAAGAAAAAACACAAACGTCCAATTGCATCATTTTAAATTTGATGGTCTTTGCAAACAAAAATTGCATTCAGAACTTTTCACGTAGTTGTGTTCTTTTTCAACCAATCTGATTTAAAATTAACAGCTTATTCACCCCATTCACTACTGAACTACTCTGCACCCTGCCTTCTGCACAACACTGAGTACAAACTCAAATCCTAGAGAGGAAGGATGGGGATCTGTTGTTTCTTTTTATTACGCCCAAAGAACCATAGACTGTAAATAAGAAATAGGACAAAGCCGTTTGTGGCAAGTACAAAGCCCTAAATGAAGGTTTACATGGAATCCTCACTTCCCAGTTTTATAAGCTCAGCGAACATTTTTCCAGGAGACCTTGTAGTTTCAGATCTTCTGCAGGACATGTCAAATGTGAGACATATGATGCGACATAAAGCAGTAAAAACAACGAAGCACAAAGAGAATGGACATTGGCAAGTGATACTGACAAATATCCAGTTTTCAATTCATCATGGTGTCATTTCACACTGTAAGTCGAAGCCTTAAAATAACTCTTTGTTCTGAAACTGGAGACTTGCGTCCATTCCATACATACAGTCTATGGTGGGAATTAAGCAGCATCATTAACCCTTTGTTTTTCCTGTGCAAGGTGTGTGGGGTTTCTGAGAATAGAGCAACCAAAGTCTTACCAGGACAGATTCATACTGTTGTCAAACTAGCAGGACACATTTACACACACATGCACACTGCAGCAACACCCAAAGTGCTTGAAACCTTTGTTCATTTTTGTTTTTAAACAGAAGCAGCCCAAATAGTTTTTTCTTCTTCTTTTGCTGTATTTAGTGTGGAATCGAAGCGTCGTGGATATTCCCATGACGCATTTCTGGGCCTCAAAATGCAGGCGAGTTTGGATGTGCATTCAAGTTAGGACACCTGGGAAGAAGTGCAGAGTGGACTCGGCTGCTTATAGCAGCAGAAGCAGCAGCAGCAGTGTGAGATTGTACAGGTGTGCAGACGCATAACAACAAACCAAAAGCAAAAAAAAAAAAAAGAATAAAACAGAATAAAATATAATCTGCTAAGAATACTTGTCTATTTTTCTTTCTTTATCAAAGATAAACACGCACACACAGCATACTCAAACAGGAATCCAGCATATGTAACACTTGGCCTCTGGTCGGGCACTGAGGACAGAGCAGAGGCAGGCCCAGGCTGCAGTCACGTGCCTGTTATCGGACAGAGCGCCGCAGCCTTGGCCTGCAGTTCTCATGGATTAAGTGGCACTTGCAATGAGGAGAATTATATAATGAAGTAAACAGAGGGCTTGCAAAGTTTGACTGCACTACGATTGGCAAAGACTGTCTTCATTTTCTCCTTTAGGGATTTTGGAGCAGTTGGCAGTGCATTTAGGGCAAAAATGTAATCTGCAGAAATAAAGGGAGGTTAAAAAAACCCATTGAATCTCACACTCCATAGTGATATGATTATAAAAGATTAAGAAAAGGGAGATGGAGCATGAAAGGTGGCAGCTCCACCCGTCAGGAAAACAATGAGGTGCTAGTGGAGTGATTTGTTTGGATCAGCTGCTCTGCACCGACATGCTCTCACCACACACAGGAAGGGGTGGGAAGGTAAAAAGCCTCAGACTGGGCTCACAGACACGCACTCTTCACGCTTTTGTCCTGCATCCACGTTAAAATAAACACATGCACTTCTTTACAGGCTTATAGTTCTGGGGGCTGGGGCAGGTGATGGAGACAAGACGGGGGGCAGAGAGGGACAAGAACAAACAACAGTACACACAGATCCCACCAAGTTTACACAGTCACACAAAAACATTCTCTTGCTCACAGGGAAAAAACCTACCACACGAAAACAAGCTACACACTTGCCCCCTCCTTCAGAAAAACATGAAGACAACGCCCAGTCATACTATAGCTTTTTCCGTTCCCGTCAAACTTACACGGTTAAAAAAGAAACACAAAAATAAACTCCACAAACATTTTCCTCCCAGTCTGTTTTTTTAAACTGCCTGCTTCCTTGTTTCACATGTTTTGTTTCTTTTTGTCGTTATTGTCTTTGTTGAAGGATTTGGTGTGGGACAGTGTCCCCTCAGGTGTCGGACATGTCTCGCCTGAGCTGCCGCACGACTGATCGTTGTGGCGTTTTGAGCTTGAAGGTCATCCTAGAGACCACCGCCCTCTTCTGGCCCGTCTTCGTCACAGAAAGCATCAGGGACCCCTTTATGAAAACATCAGGTGGGACTTTTTTTCCAGTCTGTTTCTTCCTAAACCAGTTGTTCAGAAGTCAAGGGCAAACGGTGTCTGCAGGTCTACACATAGTTGTATGCATATTCCTCTTGTGTGTGTGTTTCCTGTGAGTGTATAGTAGGATGAAATGACCAGGCCAGAGCTGAGGCTGTCAGGCTGCTCCTGAACATGTCCGTTTCCCTCCGTCCCCTCCTCTTTTCTTTAGCGCAGCCACAGTTTGAGCCGCAGTGCGTCCACTCCATTCAGGTAGTATCTGAAGAGCCGCTTGTCTCTGACAAAACCCAAGTTTTCATACAGCTTCAGAGCTGATTTGTTGGTGATCTCAGTCTCCAATACAACCTGAAAGGACACAAAGACAGTTGCGTCAGAGACTGGCTTTGTTTAATACTCTACAAATTTTCATCTCATTCTGTAAATTAATTATGTGTTTAGTCTGTGTGAAAGGACATTCGTATAGAAAACTCTGCTCAGACACCAGGCCTACCTCATCACAGTCGCCCTCCACCATGGCGTAGATGGCCTTCTTCACCAGATTAGTGCCTGGAAGAAGGAACGTATTACTTCTTTAATTTAAGCTTTGATATATTATTTAAAAAGCCTGTTACCATGGTCACTGTGTTGGATTAAGTAACCATGGAATACTTGTAACAGATATTAAAATGGATAGATGGGATAAACCCACAAAGACACCCGTGAAGATGGCAGTAAACAAACACTGGGATGCAGGGTAGTGTGTGTAACACATGCTGTCTGTGCTGTATTTGTGGTTTGACATGCTGAGGTTAAAAAACACCTCAAAAAGACAAAGATGACTGTGGACCCTTTGTTTACTTGTGCAAACTGCAAGTGCAAAGCAGGATTTATCTTTGTCAATTAAAGATAGAACTTTTAATCAGCAGGATGTTTCTCTGGTGTGATTTTAATGTCTTTGAAGATCACACCATAAAAGGTTGTGTTAAATTGTACTATTCAAGTTTTGTCAACTCTGTTGAACATCCCTTCTCCCGTTTCTTCAGGTACTACAGGAGACTAATAAATATGATTTGACATGCAATAACGTGCCTTTATTTCTTTTTTCTTTACAATCCCATGGTCCTGTATATTGTTAGGACAAAGACATACCGATGCTTTTCCTTCTGTGTTTTGAATCCACAGCCAGCATGGCAATGTAGCCACGTCGAAACATCTTCTTGTGCATGTCAAGCTTACATACGATGGCTCCGACACACTCCTGCTCCACCATGGCCTGCAATGCACAGCAACAGTCAAGATCTCTGTGTTGTAAACTCACTCTGTACAATGATAGGGTGAAAACATGGTGAAATCATTAACACTAATGATCAGGAAAGCTTCAAAACCAGTGTATTAATTCAGTACAAAACCTTAGTGTCTTATTAGGAGAAATGTTTAGAATGAGTTGCAACAATCTAAAACTGTGCATAAGTATCCATCTGTGTGTGTGTGTGGTACTCTGCTCACAATGTCTGCAGGAACAGCTACTGTGCCAAATCTTCTCAGCCTTAATGGAATTAATAGCACAAAAGCCAAGGTTGTAAAAAAACAGGTTCTCTACTGTATGTGACCATTGTCACAGACCCAATTATAAGATCCTCTGTATAAAGAATGCACACAATCAAAGACACTGACGATATCTTTGTCACATCTATGACTGAGTGAAACATAAAAGAGTAATTAGTAGTACAGACCACATGTTTCATGCTTGGCCAAGACAAAAAAAAAACATAACAAATAAGGAAAACAATTTGTGAGAAAGGGTGTCTTTCACTCACGTATGTTATAACAATAATTTAATGACTATTCATAAATAATTTATGACAAACCAGGTTGTCTCATGTAAATGTCTTCACTTTGATTCTCCTGACGACACTGGTTCTACTGTAAGTGTCGGCTACAGAAAAAGATGCTGAAAAGCAAGCAACACAGGCAGCACTTTTATCAACAGTTCCTGTCAGTCTGTCAGTTCCCTGAGCTGACCTCTGATCTTTATTACATGGCACTTCCTGTTATGTCACGTGCTGTGTAACAGAAAAGCTGCAAGTGGGAAACTCATGACCTTGAGGTTAAGGGGATGCAGACAAAAGTACAGTGTTTATTCAATGTAAAACAAAAACCCCTGACTGTACAATAAAGTGACCTCCGTGCAGGTGAAAGTTATAAAACCTTGTTTGCACTTGCATTCCTGTAATGATATGAAGGACAAGACTTGAACATTTGTAATGTACACTGTGGGATTGGCTGCATTTATTTTAAGGTTAGAGATCTAGTATGAAGCATGTGGTGAAGCATGGGCTTCATGAAAACACTTTTGGAGCTACTTTTTTGAGCAGTTTATTTTGTTTTGGGGAAGGTCTTTCAGGGCAATTCAGCTGTCATTCATGGCGTCCACACATAATCAACCTTAGCATTGTTTTATCACCATTTATTTTGTCACAAAAAAGTAATTTACAAAACAAATCATAGATGAGACTCTTTGAATTCAAAGGTCAGTCCACAGTGTCACAGTTTTGTGATTATAAATCAATAAAAAAATTGCTCCAGTTACACAAACCATGTTACTACCATCCGTTTATACCCCTAACTAAAGCTGGCCACCAAAATAGGTCTGTCCACCTTTAATATTCTATGTATGACCTTCTGAACTCATTGTTGGGGATACTAAAACAGCATCTCAGCTGTCAGCGGGTAATTAACTGCAAGTATACATCCATTCCCTAATTGACAATAATGCATACTTTTCTTTTAAAAGGCTAAAAAAGTCTAGAATTATGGAGACAGTGTGGTTGCTATAGTTTTTCACCAAGGGCTGCATAAACCCTAGCCATAAATGACATGTACATACGTGTTGCGCATAAATGTGTTTGTTTATTCACTACATTTGACTAAGGTTCAATCCTAAGCGATAGCAGCTGTAATTGAAGTAATGCTTTGCATCCCTAATGGGAGAAAAGTGAATGAATCAGGACTTAATTTGAAGACATGATGTACAGACTGAGGGTCAAACACACTTACCAGGAAGCAGAGCTGCGGCCAGTTGTGGATGAAGTACCTATACGTATAAATTGAATAAGGCTCGGATAAGTCCTTCGTGATCAATCTCATGATCCACGGCATTTGCAGCTCAGACTCGTAGCGGACATATCGAATGCCATGACTCTCTTCCGCTACAACGGGGGAGCTGTTCAGGTGAAGCCGGGCCAGCTCTGCGACTGGCGGCTGCTGCTCTGTTTCACCTTCGCCCGAACAGACAGTGTCCGGCGGCTCGTCGCTCAGCGGTCTCGGCGGCTGAGTGTACTCAAACTCGTCTTTCCCTTCATCCGAATCGGGTCTAATAAAACTTGCTATTCCGTTCACACTGTTATTATCCAAGGGAGAGTGGCTGCCGTTTTTGGAGAAGGGGCTGTGGCCTTTGTGTTGGCAATGCTCACTGTTACTTGTTGCAGTCGGAGTACCGTCACTGCTGCCGCTGCTGTCACAGTTGTCCGTGGGCGATCTCGGATTGTCAGCTCGGTTTACCGCACATTGGTGACTGTTAGGCTCCTCTGAAGGACTGACCAAGCCGTTCAGCTGCTGCTGCTCTCGAGCTTGCATTTTAAGGTGCAATGGCACCGGGCTAGCACGAGCTAGCATGTTTTTTTGCTTCTTCTTAATCGACCTTTTAACTTCGTTTGACGTCTGTGACTTCGTCCCCGTGCCAGCGGGTACACATTCCTCTATAAGACAGGCCGGTTGTTTGCCTGCGCCTGCCGGTTCCGCGCTCCCACCCCCGGGGAAAGCAGGAATTTCAGCCGGGGATGCAGGTAGTGCGTTACTAGGCCCAGGCGGCACTGTGGCCATCCCACCGCATTAAGGTGGAGATTCAAGGTTGGAATACTCCAGACAAAAACTTATCCACAACACGAAGGGAAAAACAGAACATATATACGTCAATTGGCTGAATATTATGTAAATC